AATTCACCCAAAATTCACCTGTTTGAGGTCTCTGATGGTGCCGGGGGTCAGGGCAGGTGAGGGCACACCTGGGCACACCTGGGCACTCACCTGGGGGCCAAAAATCCCGAATTTCCTGTGAAAATCTACTCAAATTTCATCAAAATCCATCCAAATCCACCCAAAATTCACTCAAAATTCACCTTTTTGAGGATTCTGGCAATGTCATGGGCCAGGCCAGGTGAGGGGCACACCTGGGCACACCTGGGCACTCACCTGGGCACACCTGGGGGCCAAAAAATCCCGAATTTCCTGTGAAAATTTGCCCAAATTGCACAAAATTCCATCAAAATCCACCCAAAATTCACCCAAATTCACCTGTTTGAGGTCTCTGATGGTGCCAGGGGTCAGGGCAGGTGAGGGCACACCTGGGCACTCACCTGGGCACTCACCTGGGCACACCTGGGGGCCAAAAATCCCGAATTTCCTGGGAAAATCTGCCCAAATTGCATGAAATTCTGTCAAAATCCACCCAAAATTCACCTTTTTGAGGATTCTGGCAATGTCATGGGCCAGGCCAGGTGAGGGCACACCTGGGCACACCTGGGCACTCACCTGGGCACACCTGAGAGCCCCAAACTCACCTGGGACCCCAAAAACCCCCCGAATTCTCTCTTAAACCCCTTTAAATCCCAAATTTCCTCCAGAATTCCCGCGGGTTTTCCGTCTTTGCCCCCAGGTGTGCCCAGGTGTGCCCAGGTGTGCCCAGGTGTGCCCAGGTGTGCCCAGGTGACCCCGAATTTCCTTCCCTAGAACACCTGGCCCCACCCTGGACCCCCAGATTTCCCCTTAAATCCCCAAATTTCCCCTTAAATCCCCTCCCAAATTCCCCAGGTGAGCCCCAGGTGAGCTCAGGTGATCTCAGGTGAGCTCAGGTGAGTTCAGGTGATCTCAGGTGATTTTTGTCTCCATTTTTGACCACCAAGGCCCCCCTGGACCCCCAGATTTCCCCTTAAACCCCCAAATTTCCCTTTCAAACCCCTCCCAAATTCCCCAGGTGAGCTCAGGTGAGCTAAGGTGACCCTCAGGTGCGCCCAGGTGCGCCCAGGTGACCCCGAATTCCCCCCCCGCAGCACCAAGTGCCCCCTGGACCCCCAAATTTCCCTTTCAAACCCCTCCCAAATTCCCCAGGTGACCCCCAGGTGAGCTCAGGTGAGCTCAGGTGTGTTCAGGTGAGCTCAGGTGCCCCCAGGTAACTTCTCCATCTGTTTCTGACCATCAAGACCACCCTGGACCCCCAAATTCTCCATTAAACCCCCAAATTTCCCTTTCAAACCCCTCCCAAATTCCCCAGGTGACCCCCAGGTGAGCTCAGGTGAGTTCAGGTGATCTCCAGGTGATTTTTGTCTCCCTTTTTTACCACCAAGGCCCCCCTGGACCCCCAAATTTCCCTTTCAAACCCCTCCCAAATTCCCCAGGTGAGCTCAGGTGAGCTCAGGTGAGTTCAGGTGAGCTCAGGTGTGTTCAGGTGAGCTCAGGTGATTTTTGTCTCCCTTTTTTGCCACCAAGTCCCCCCTGGACCCCCAAATTTCCCTTTCAAACCCCTCCCAAATTCCCCAGGTGACCCCCAGGTGAGTTCAGGTGCGCCCAGGTGACCCCCAGGTGCGCCCAGGTGACCCCGAATTCCCCCCCCGCAGCACCAAGGCCCCCCTGGACCCCCAAATTTCCCTTTCAAACCCTTCCCAAATTCCCCAGGTGACCCCCAGGTGAGCTCAGGTGAGCTCAGGTGTGTTCAGGTGAGCTCAGGTGCC